CCCAGGGCGCAGGGTGGAGAGACGCCGGGGAGGGCTGGCGGAGCGGGGACCCTGCCGCTTCGCTGCGGGCTGGGGACCATTCCAGATCCCAGGATGGATTGGAGAGAGAACAGAGCCCGGGAGGGAGGAGGGGGCTGGCCGATGGAGGCGGGGGAGGTGGGAAGGGCACAGTGATCACCTCCTAAAATGTCAATTGTGACACACGTTGAAGATCCTTCTCACAAGGTGTGAGAATATTAAAAACAAAATTAGTCCACGGACATAATCTCATTTCCACGTAATTGTTTGAGAGACGATTTATTTATTAAGCACCAGGTGTTTGCCAGACAGTGGGCTAAGAACTGGAGTTAGAGATGATGAATACATGGTTCCTAACCAGTAAATAAATAATAGGTGTCAGCAGTACTATTGATTATTTTAAAACAAAATAAAAACCTAAATCCTATAAATGTTTTAGGAGAGCAAAGGAAGCAACTACATTGGTTTAATTAATCCCTAAAGATGTAAAGATTTTTTTCCTGCTAATCAAGACAGGATGAAGACATTTGAAAGAGAATGACAGAGCAGAAGTGGCTTTAATCAGAGCAGAGAGCAGTCTGGGTCTAGGCGTCCTTTGAATGTTCAAACCTCCTTTAGTCCTCGACACTGTGAGTACCAACCATAACTTCCCTCTTGTAGAATTTGGGCTGGCTGCACAGTGTGAAATACATAGAGAACAGCCTGGCAAGTTTATAATTAGTATGGGAACCTGAACTTGTGTTTGAAAGGGTCTGTTCTAACCTTGTTATGTCATAAGCATAATGTGGTAGAAAGCAGGGCCACATTATGACTTTCATGGGCACTTTGCCTTTTTAGACGCCTTCCTCCATAAAAAAAAATAGTAAAAATTACATTTCTCAATTGCATTGGTGTGAAGATGAATATATTAATATATACTAAAATATTTTCTTCGATCTAAAGATCACTTTTTCTTCTGATTTTAAAAGAAATTAAAACATTTCCGTGCGCCCTTAAAAGTACCCATGCACTGTGCCTACTGCCCTGAGCAGAGGAGTCATCTCTGGTGATACCATTCCTTGATGCTGAGTAGGAGTTAAATTAAGAAGTGTCCAATCCACATAAGGGCAGACAGACACACAGTGCAAGTTTAAGAATTGATATGATGAACATCAGCGGGAAGTACCAGTTTCTACTTATTTCAGCCAGGCTCCTGGGGTTTTAAATCAGCTCTGAGTAACTAATGATACCTGTAGAAATATTTGTCTGTGAGTGTGTCATCTACCACTTCAGTAAACCAAAGACTTTCTCTATGGATCTCATAACTGTTCTGAGTCCTTGGATCAGGTATTTGAGGGCTCAGTTGCCAGGACCTAGCCTGAATACAACTAAAGACACAGCTGGGCAATTATAATGGGGCAAGTTCATGGATGAAAGATCCATAAAGGTTTTGTGTATGTTGAGGTTTTGTGTATAAGGTAGGGATTGATATCCTGCAAGGCAATTACTAGCCTATTTCTTTTGTCGGCCTCATCACAACCCTAGGTTAATGTTTGATCCTCACTGGCAGTTGTGATTCATATTTGCTGCCCTTTGAGGTGCTTGTGTTTTCAGGAAAGTCTATATTGATTCAGATTAATGCATAATAAATAGGCATCATGGCCCCCATTCCCAAAGAAATGTACGGTGGCACCCTTCTGTATTTTCTTCTTGACTGCTCTTGCAGAGAGAAGGGAAAAAGAGGAGTTCATAAAGAGAATGTCTGGATTTGGTGGGGGGAGATGTTTTCAGACAGAAATAGGACATGGAATAATTGTATTCCTACAGTTAAAGGGATGCCTAAAAAAATGGAGGGAAGAAAGGACATGCCCAAACAGCAGGAAAAAAATCTTTGTTGCTCAGGGTGATTTTTGAGATCTGTAATTCTAATGTTCGTTGATTTAAAATAAAGACTCAACAAATTTCCCATCTCGGATCTGATTCTTTTATCTTTATCTTGTTTCTCTAATACAGCATCTCCACATACTCTAGTTTTCACATGCTTGCCAGATGGATGATTAATTGATTTATTCAATAAACATCTATTAAGCACCTGATGTATGCCAGTCACTGAGCTAAGGACTACGGTTAGAGAGATGGTTAACACAGAGTTGCTGACCCCAAGGAGCTCATAGGCCAGTAAATAAAATGTTAATAATACAATGCGACATGATGTGGTACATGAGTTATAAAATGGGCCAGGTAGACACTGAATTTGTGGCTCTATCCTTGTATTGGGAAAGGATAGGGAATGGCATGGGGCAGGGCAGTCAGAAAAGATTGCAAGGAAATGGTGACAAGAGCTGAGCACTGAGAGATGAATAGGAGTTTTTCAAAGTAAGGGAAAAGAATTACAAATGAAGAGAACAGCAGTCACCAAAGTTTGGATGCAAAACACCTCCTGGAGGCTGGAAATATTTTGTGAGGGTGGAGTAGAGCTGTGAATAGCATTGGGAGATGCAGAGGAAGCTAGGGGTCAGTTGAGGTCCCTGGTCTGTCCTGTAAAGGAGCTTTTTCTGGTAGTTAATAGGGAGCATTGAAAGACTTGAAGGAAAGGAGTGAGTGACCAGGAAAGATTTGGGTCGAGGAATGATCGTTCCAGTGGGTGTGAAGGGCTGATTGGAGAGTGAGATTGGCAGCAGGGAGACCAGGCGAGAGAGAGAGACTGTGGCAATGATCAGAGTTGGAGTCAAGGTAGTGTCAGCAGAGATGAAGGGTCGGAACTTGAGTCAAGTGGTACTCAGGACATATAGAATCAACAGGACTTAATGATGGAGGATGCAGGGAGCAGTTAGGGTGACTGACACATGACTTCCTGAATTGGATGACAGGGTGGGTGGGGGGTGTGGTCACTGAGATAGCGATTCCTAGGAAGAGAAGCAGATTTGGGGCTGGAAATGATGAATACCGTAGGTCCCCTCAGAAGCAGATCCTGAAACAAGGATTTAAGCACAGGAAATTTATTTGGAAGTTGAAGAAAACGCTGATAGAGGAGTGGGGAAGGGAGACAGAGGGAGAGCAGCCAATAGGGGGCATGTTATCAAGGCCAATTACTACTGTGGGCAAGTGGAGCTTAACCTTGCAGGCAGACTCTTGGTCATGATACGAAGCACTCACTTTAAAATTGTCCCAGTCAAGAACTAAGGAAGCTCATTGAAGGCTGCCCAGAGGATGTGAATTTTCTGGCAATTTCAACCTGCTGCCTAGCATAAGCAGAGTCCTTCTCAGGTATAGGGAGAGGTTACTGACTGGCAGCTTGGATGTCTGTGGAGCACATTGAAATGGTAGCGTCCAAGGGATGTGGATGGAGCACTATCAGTGTCTCCTCCAGGGAGTTCTGGTTAGGACATCTTGAATTGGAAGTGCCTGTTTGGTAGCCACAGAGAGAAGTGTAGTAGGCATCTGTAAGAGCAGGTCAAGAGTTCAAAATCTAAGCTGGAGACCTAGATTTGGGAGTCGTTAGACCCTGGGTGTTAGTTGAACCAGTGGGTGTTGATGAGCTCTCAAGTCACACATATCCCTTAAGTTGTGGCTGAGCCCATCACCCTGGGCCATGCCAACATAATTCAATCTAATCTGAACATCATTGTGAATTTCTCTAGTTCTTGGAAGCCCTGAAGTTGTAATGCCAGTTTACTGCTCATGGGTGTGAATGTATCTGGGGAAGAGAGTCCATTACTTTCAAGAAATTCTTAAGGTGTCTATACTTTACTGAGGTAGAATTGAAACTTTAAAAAATTTTGGTGGTCACTAATATTTACTGGATGATTGAGTAACTGACTAAGGCAGGCATTTAAAATCATAATCACAATGCAAAGGGATATATGCTGGAAAAAAAAATACAAGATATAGTTAAATCACAGAGGACTGAAATCAAGCTCAGGGAACGAGGATGGAAAGCATTCAAAGAAACAGGCCAATGAGAATGACATTTTTACCTGAAGAATATTCAGAGCCCACGGGGTAAGGGAAAGGTTTTGACTATTTTGATAGAACAGAGACTTCTAATGTAGTTATTTAGCATGGGGGCTTCGGTATCCTTCATTTGGAGACCTCATATGAACTGTATTAGGTCATGATTTTAGCAAAAATTGAATCAAAGGTTATGTCAATTGGTCCTTCAGTTAAGCAATCAACATGT